CACAGGACTGTTGTCTCTGCTTTGACTGGACTTACAGGGAAATCTCCTTAATTCAGACTTTATTCATAGATTTGTGATAATGTGATCACATATTGGATTGAAGAAAAGAAAAGATGTGGAGAGGGTAATGCATAGTTCCTCAGAGGCAATGATCTTTAGGCTATTGCAAGAGGTAGAGCAGCAAAGGTCCTTCAGGGAGCCTTCCTTCAACTTATCCCACCCCCCTCACTCCAGCTGCACTAAGATTTTTGCTGCTCCTCCAAATCTGAGAGTGCCTGGAGTGCAATCACTTTCACAGTAGGAATGCACACTGAGTCAGGTGAAGGTCATGGATTTTATATGAGGAAAAGGGGTTTTGCTGAATTTTCTTTGTACTAACGTCGCATGCAGAGCGATGTCACGTATTGGCTAATTCGAGAGCTGAATTATTCAATCGGCTGAAACATACATGGAAGGATAAGCATGAGGGTTAGAAGAGGGCATCAGGCATGAAGAAGGGCATTCTTAGTTTCTTGAGCAGAGGCAGCCTGCAACTTGTGAGCTTCCATGGGTCTTAGAGAGGCCCATAGGCTCCAGCTTGTTTGAAAAGTCACATGGCCTATTATTCTTAGCTACCATTAATGCAGGCCCCCTGAAAACCTAGCATTGGTCATCATTTGTACCTGCACATAATAAAGCATGCTTCTTTCTTTCTTTTTCCTCCTTCCTTCCTTCCTTCCTTTCTTTCTTTCTTTCTTTTCTTTCTTTCTTCCTTCCTTCCTTTCTTCCTTCCTTCTTTCCTTCCTTTCTTCCTACCCTCCCTCCCTACCTCCCTTCTTCCTTCCTTCTTTCCTTTCTTTTTCTCTTCTTTCTTTCTTTCTTTCTTTCTTTCTTTCTTTCTTCTTTCTTTCTTCTTTCTCTTCTTTCTTTCTTTCTTTCTTTCTTTCTTTCTTTCTTTCTTTCTTTCTTTCTTTCTTTCTTTCTTTCTTTCTTCTGTCTCTTCCTAACCAGCATTCCTCTGTCAGCCAGGTAAACTCTACTGCATCCCAGCTAGAAAGCCAGAGTGGAGCCAGTTCCTGAGGGAAATGGAGATGAAGTGTGTGCATGTGTGTGAGGTGGGGATCAGGGGATGACCACTGACAGAGGAAAGCTCCTCAGGGCTCTCCAAAAGAAATATAGAGTATGTGAAGGCTGACAGCTGATTTAGCACACAGGGTGGTTCTGATTTGGGGCTATGATATACGTGTTCCCCACAGCTCATCAGACAGATTAAACCAGCTGCTAATGGGCAAGGATCTCTCTAGTCCCTGGCAGCACTCAGTTGCCTTAAATTCATTAGCAGCTGCTCACAGCATTTGAGAGCCAGGTTGGGGAAGGTTCTCCCTCCATGCCAGAGAAATTTCCTCTGATTTGGGGAAAGGTTTTTTCCTTTTCTTCCCTAGTTAGCATGTGCTCCAGCACAGGAGAAGCTTCTTCCCAAGGTTACTCCAGACCTGCTGTACTGGCAGACCATCCTCAGTTACACAGATTGCTTGCTACCTGTAAAGTTTGGATAGGAAGAAGGATCTAGCAGCCCATTGTCAAGAACAATAATGGTAGCTGCCATCTCTATAGTGTTTTAAGGTATGCAAAACATTAAAAAAAAATATATATATATATATATATACACACACACATATACATAAACTCTCTTGATCCTCACAACACCCCTGTGAGGAAGGGGCTATTTTATATATTTATATACATATATATATATATATATATATATATATATGTATGTATATGTATATATGTATAAATTTATATATATAATTATATATGTTATATATATGTATGTATGTATATATATATGTATATGTATATATGTATAAATTTATATATATAATTATATATATTATATATATATATATATAAAATAGCCTTTTCCTCACAGTATACATACATATATATCTGTGAGGGAGGGGCTATTATCTTCATTTCAAAGATGAGGAAACTAAGGTTCAGAGAAGTTAAGTGGCTTGCCTAGGGTTACACAGATAATAAGTATCTGATGGAGGGGTTTAATCCCTGGAACATCGTGAATCCAAGTCCAGCACTCTTCCCACTATACCACACTACCCCCAACCTACCTTTGGTAAATAATTCAATCCTGGCTTCTCCTATAGACTCAGATAAATCCTGAAGTGGATCTGTGATCTTCTCAACTTGAACATTTGGAGATTCCCTCCAGCAATGCAGATTGCAACCTATTCATGCCTTCCTATCCTGTGCATCTCAGGTCCATGTACTTCCTGTACAGGGAATCCATCCAAAGTATTAGAGCCTTTTTTGGATTTCTAAGGTTCCAATAGAACAATCTGACCACTTGTCATCTCTTGATCCATCCATCCTTGTTTGTTCAGACCTATGGTTTCGTTGAGGAACTCCTAGTGAGAAAACTCCCGTCACCGACATAAATTGTCATCTGCTGTGTAGCTTAGAGCGTTGAGAGGTGCCCAGGATACCGACGGGTTTAGTGATTTGCTGAGAGTCCTGTACCAATCATTAGTTGTTAGAGGCAGAATCTGAGCCCTGGTCTTTTTGACTCTGAGGCTGGCTATCTATCCCCTATATCATGTGGCTTCTCATCCTCATCCTCATTGTGATGAGATTTAGCATTGTAGAGTGGATAGAGAGTCAAATTTGGGGTTAGGATGACCTGGGTTGCAGTTGACAAGCAAATAGCAATCAGCATGGGTGGAGGGAATTTCTTCTTCACCATGGTTTGCATACACCAAGGAAATCATAGGTTCTTTTCCAGAAAAAAAAAAAAGTTCTTTCTTAGGGGCAACATGGTATAGGAGATAAAGAAATGGCCTTAGACTTAGGAAGACCTGGGTTCAAAATCTACCTCTGACACATATTGGCTGGGTGGCCCTGGGCAAGCCTTCATTTCTCCACAGAAAGGTAGATGTAAATCTCATGGGTAGAAGACGTTTCCTCATTTTATTCTGAGCACACAATGACTCCAATGAGATGCACAGAGTCCCAGAGATGCAAGGGACATCAAGGGTCATCTAGTCCAACCTGTGCCAGAAGGAAGACCCTCTGTACAGTATCTCCAACACATAGTTATTTAGCTTGAAGCCCTCTAGGGAGGGAGATCCTACTTCCCCAGGCCCTGAGCCCATTATACTTTTATATGACTCTGATTGTTAGGAAGTTTCTTCCTTATATTGATTGTAAATCTGCCTGACTGCAACTTACACCCATTAGGTGAAGCAGAACAAAGTTGATCCCTCTGTATGCTAGCTCATCAAACATTGAATACAGCTTCACCTGTCCTCCCTAGTTCTTCCTTTCTCTGGGCCAAACATCATCAGTTCATCTAATTTCATAGACAGAAGAAACCTTAGAGAACAGCAGGTCCAGTCCATCCCTGATTGACAGATTGCTAGACCAAATTGGCTCTCGCAGAAGAGGTAAGAAAATGGACCTTTCTCCTTTCCTTGTAGAAGTGGGGAGATCATGGGTATGCAACTGAATATAATGTCAGACTCAGTCGATATATCAGTTTTGCTGAACTGCTTTCCCTGTCTGTCTCTCTCTGTATCTCTGTCTGTGTCACCCTGTCTCATCTTTGCTACAAGGAGAAACTTTGCTAACTAGGAGAAAAGAGAGATATATGTAGAAACAGAGATGATGTTTTTAAAAAGATAGATTAAAGACAGGGAAAAGACCATTATATATAAAAAATTACATATCATTTATATAAATATATAAAAATTATATCTATGATTTATAAAAAATACACAAAATTATATATTTATAACATAATATATAATTTATATATTATGTAATATATAGAGTATATTTATATATTATATAATATATAAATTGTATATAATATATAAATATATATCTATAATGCTATATAAAAATTGTTGTAGCAAAGAACAGGAAACTAAAGGAATGCCCACCAGTTGGCAAATGGCTGAACAAATCATAGCTTGTAATGTATAGCATAGTATAGGGTGAAATATTATTGTACAGTAAGAACTGATTCAGAAAAACTTTGGGGTCACTTGTATGAACTGATGCAGGGTGAAGAGAGCAGAACCTGAAAAAACAATTTATAGTACATAAAGACTTCAATATTGTAAAGGAAACAGACTTTGAAAGCCTTAAGAATGCTGAACAATGCAATGACCAATCACAACTCCAGAAGACTGATGATGAAACCTGCCTCCCATCTCCTGACAGATAGGTGATGGACCACAGTGCAGTATGAGCCAGATGTGTTTACAAATGATCATGGGTGAATCTGGTTTTGCTACTACTCTTTCTTGTTACAAGGGAAGGTTTTCGTTTTTGCAGAGGAGCACTGGAGACAATATTGATAGACAAAAAAAAAAAGGAAAAAAGTATCAATGAAGCATTTAAAATGCATAATAGAGATCAAAAGGTGATTCAGAAGGGGGGCAGTGTTCATAACACTGTGTTTGACTTAATAAACTCTTTAAAACAAACAATTTGTATACAATAGGGATTCACGGTTTTATATATACTCCCTTTTCTGTTCTTCTATATGGAAGTGTTCATGTTGTGAAGTTTATAATTTAAAAAAAAAAAAGAAAATTTAGACAAAAATCAATCTAAGATTTTAAAATTTCAGGCCTGAAGAGCTTGTATTTTATCCTAGAGTCAGTAGGGACCCACAGAAGCGTTTTGAGCAGAGGAAAGACGTGGTCAGAACTGTAAGTAGGAATATCGACTTGGCAGCTGTGTGGAGAATGGACTGGAGTAGGCAAGACTTGAGGTAGGAAGAACAATTACAAGGTTATCATCATGGTCCAAGAGAGAGATGACAAGGGTCTGCACCTGGGTGGTGACTGTGTGACTATGCAGGGGGGAAATACATTCAAGAGATGCTACCTGAAATGGGGCCTCTGACTTTTCCAGGAAGAAGATCCTTGAGTCCTTCTGGAGGATTTCTCTGAGCCATCCCTTGCCTGACCCTCCGGATCTGCACAGGATCCTGAGGCAGCCCTGCTCTAGGGAGTTTCCCAAAGACTACCCTGGAAAATTAGACTCAAGTTTAGCCCACCAGCAAAGGCCTGGCCACCCAACAAGTAATCCATTTTCTGATCTGCTGGAGAAACCAGATCTCTGACCTTCCAAAGTATGGGTCGCCTCACCTTTAGACCTCCATCCATCACGAAACTTGTGGTACGGTGCTTCCTTTTGACATTCCATGTCTCAGCAGGTAAGTGGTCTTAATGAGCTATATTCATCTTTGAGAGGCATATACTCTATAATATATAGAAAGCTAGCTTCAGGATCGGGAAGACCTCTGTTCAAATTCTACCTACAAAATAAATTACCTGTGTGACCCTGGACATCACTTAACCTCTCACTGCCCTCTAGAAAACTCTGAGAATATAAGGTGCAGAATAGTTGCACATATTCGTTGATGGAGGAGTTTTCTCGCTGAAAGCTCCTATGGAATACTGGAACTCAGATGGAGTTCCACATACCCATGAAATCACAGGTGCAGACAAACCAAATATACCAAGTGCTTTTTTTTTTTCACAAGGATCCTGTGAAGTAGTTAGGGGACAAGAATTAACATCCCCATTTTACATTTGAGCAAACTAAGTCTCATTGAAATTAGATGAGTTACCCATGATCACCCTTCCAGTAAGGATCTGAAGAAGGATTTGAAAATCAACTCCATGTCCATCACTCTTCCCACTTCTACATTATAGCTGCCTTTGCTTGATAAACTGCTCAGATTTCCTGAGGGGCAGTGTGGAATAGCAAAGAGCCGTCCCTTAACACAGGGTAGACCAGATTCAAGTTATGCCTCTGATTCAGACTGATGAAGATGTAATGGTCAAATCACTTAACTCTTCAGTGGCCCAGGCAACTCTTAGAGATTTTAAGGTACAGCATGGTTGTCTGTCTATGCCTTGGGAGAGGGAATTCCTCCACTAAGAGTGATGAAGTCACAAGCGTAGACAAAATGTGTGTTTGTGTGTCTCTGTGTGTGTATGTGTATGCGTGTGGCATGTGTACAGATAGTCAAATATTTGTCACTCTAGAGCTGACTACATCGATATGCCCATAGTTATCAGTTTGAGATTTGTGCTGTGGCTAACTAGTAGTGTGAAGCAACTGAACCAGACTAGGAAAAGGGACTAGTGATCATTTGGAGGCTGACAACATATTGACCCAAACAGTGAAGATTACCTAGAGCCAAACAGAGCATAAAACATTTATCTTTGTTAGGGATCAGTTTTTCATGGGGATGGGTAGGTGGGGTGGGGAAGAGGAGGTGAAGTGTGGTTAAGAGAACACTGCCTTTGGAATCAGGAGGCCCCAGTCTGTGTCTCAGCTCTGCCTCACAAGATCTCAGATTTGGAGCCAGAAGGGATCTTGGAGGTCATTGGGTTCAATCCCTCCATTTTGTATATGAGGAAATTAAGGCACAGCAAGGTGAAGAACATGCCCAAAGTCACACAGAAGCCAGGGTTTGACCAGAGGTTCTCAGACTCCAAAGCCTGGATATCACTCTCCTCAAAGAGGAGCCAGGAAGCTGCGGCAATCTTTACATTGAGGGCACACTAGCTCCATGACTAGGAGAAAGCACAATGTCTGGCATATTTGTTATTGTTGTTGTTCAGCTGTTTCAGTTGTGTTCAACTCTTTGTGAACCCATTTGGGGTTTTCTTGCCAAATATACTGGAGTGGTTTGCCATTTCCTTCTCAAATTCATTTTTACAGATGAGGAAACTGAGGCAAACAGGGTTGAGTGACTTGCCCAGGGTCGTAGAGCTAATAAGTATCTGAGGCCAGATTTGAACTCAGGTCTTCCTGATTCTAGGCCCAGTGCTCTATCCACTTAGCCACCTAGCTATCCAGCCTGGCATATAGTAGGTGCTTAATAAATGTTTGCTAACTGACAATTAGTCTTTCTGAGCTTCTTCTCACATCTATAAAATGGGGATGATAGTATCTGTGCCACTTACCTCTCAAGGTTGTTGAGAGGAATGGACTTTGATGAGCTGTAACGTGGCCTATAAATGTGAGCTATTGCCTTATCTTATACTCTTTGAAAGCTTAATATGTGCAAGGTAATAATGATCTAAGACTCAGACATTTAGGGCCTGACAAAGTCAGGCTTTTATGTTTTGGTTGACCTATGGCAAAGGGAGATCATTTGACTGCTGTATGGAGGATGTGCTGGAGAGGGGAGAAGATGGGAGCAAGGAGACGATTAGGAGGTTATTGCAAATAGTCTAGGAGAGAAGTGATGAGGCCTGAGGTGGGGTCATGGTCACATGAGTAGAGAGGAGAGTAAATACAAGAGATATTGAGGACATAGAATCAACAAGATTTGGCAACCAATTGGATATGGGGGTAGGGGCCATGGTGAAAGAGAGGATAGTGTATATAGGATGACTACAAAGGAATGTACTTGATTGACTGGAAGATGGTGGTGCCCTCAACATCTACAGGGAAGTTTGTAGGAAAATCAAGTTTCTAGGGGAAGAAATTAAATTCTATTTGGTCACATAACTTTATAATGCCCATTAGTCATCTAGGAAGGTATATCCAGCAGATAATGATGCAGGATTGGAATTTAGGAAAGAAATGAAGATCTAGGACTAGGAGTAATCTGGGTTGAGGTGATACTTGAACCATGGGAGTATGTGATATTACTAAGTTAGAGAAGAAAAGAAGATCCTGGGGAGAGCTCTTGGGGATACACACACTGAAGAGGGAGGAGAACATGGATGCTGAACCAGAGAGAGAGACTCCATGGTACAAAGGAAAGCCCATTGGATCTGGAATTTTCCTCTGTGAAATGAAGAGGTTGAACTATAAAGCCTCTTCCAGATCTGAGTCTATGCCCTTTTCTCCCTTCCCTTACAGCTCCAGGAAAGCATAGCTCCCATGCTCTTGCTGAAGACCGCCTCTTCAAACACCTCTTTAGGGGCTACAATCGCTGGTCGCGCCCAGTTCAGAACACTTCTGATGTGGTGATCATCCGCTTTGGGCTCTCCATTGCCCAACTCATTGATGTGGTGAGTCTTATTCCAACATGGGACTCTCCTGCTCAGCCCTACCAGGTTGGCCCTCTACTTTGCACCCAGACTGAACTCTCTACTCCCATCCATGTGGTCTTCCTTTTCTCTTCTGGCTCCTTCCTTTTTTTGTTTGTTTGTTATTTTTTTCTTTTTAAATTTAATGTATTTATTTTTAGTTTTCAACATTCACTTCCTCAAGATTTTGAGTTCCAAATTTTCTCCCCATCTCATCCCTACCCCTATCCCAAGATGGCATGCATTCTGTATACCCCTTCCTCTCTAATCTGCCTCCCATCTATCTCTCCCCTCCCCCTTCTCTTATCCCCTTCCCCTTCTATTTTCCTGTAGGGCAGGATAGACTTCTATACCCCATTTCCTGTATTATTTCCCAGTTGTATGTGAAAACAATTTTTTTAACATGTGTTTTTAAAACTTTGGCTTCCAAATTTTCTCTTTTTCTCCCTCCCCACCCACCCTCATTGAAAAGGCAAGCAACTTGATACAGGTTATACATGTGTAGTCATGCAAAACACTTCCATAGTAGTCATATTGTGAAAAACTAAGTATATTTCCCTTCATCCTATCCCACCCCCCATTTATTCTATTCTGTCTTTTGACCCTGTCCCTCCTCAGAAGTGTTTGCTTCTGATTATCCCCTCCCCCAGTCTGCCCTCTCCTTTATCATCCCCGACTCTCTTGTCCTTTTCCCTCTATTTTCCTGTAGGGTAAGATAAATTTCCATCCCCAACTCAGTGTGTATGTTATTCCCTTCTTAAACCAAATCCTATGAGGATAAGATTCACTCATTCCCTCTCACCTTCCCCGGTTTCCCCTCTACTGTAAAAGCCTTTTCTTGTCTGTTTCCTGTGAGATAATTTACCCCATTCCACCTCTCCCTTTCTCCTTCTCCCAGTATAATCCTTTCTCATCCCTTAATTTTATTCTCCAGATATCATCCCTTCATCTTCAACTCACCCTGTGCCCTCTGTCTGTCTGTCTGTCTATCTATCTATCTATCTATCTATCTATCTATCTATCTATCTATCTACATATACATATACATACATGTAATTTTTTCTCTCCAGCTACCCTAATACTTACAAAGGTCTCATGAGTTATAAATATCATCTTTCCATGCAGGAATGTAAACAGTTCAACCTTAGTAAGTCTCTTATGATTTCTATTTCCTGTTTACCTCTTCATGTTTCACTTGAGTCTTGCATTTGAAAGTCAAATTTTCTGTTCAGCTCTGGTCTTTTCATCAAGAATGCTTGAAAATCCCCAATTTCACTGAATGACCATTTTTTCCCCTGATGGATTATATTCAGTTTTGCTGGGTAGGTGATTCTTGGTTGTAATCCTCTCTCCTTTGGCCTCCGGAATATTATATTCCCTGTCTGGCTCCTTCCTTTTATTTTCAGCCCATCTCATCCCTATCCAACCCAGACCCTTCTCTCTACTCCAGCTCCCAGTTGCAGCTAACTTTACAACTCAGTGTGACTCAGCTTGGACCTTTTCCCCTAAAATATATCAAATATGATGAAAAATAATCTCCTTTCCTTCTTTTTTTGTCTTAGCTAGTATTTCTATATATGTTGAACTTTTTTTTTTATTACATTGGTTAATTTTGTTAAATTGTTTTTTCTTTTTTAAATTCTTTATTATAAAGGGGGCTCTCTGGAAGGAGAAGGAGGTAATGGATACACCAGGGCATGTAGGTGATACAAAAACAGAAGATATAAATAAAACATTTTAAAAAGATACAATACTTGGAAACATACTTTAGGGAAGTGAGGGAAGATGGACATGGCCACATCAATGGAGAAGAGACCTAAATACAAGTGACAGAGAAGTCTGTCACTTCTTGCCACATCCACTCTTTAGTGGGACAGAAAACATTGGCATTGTGTTCACACAATGGAGATTAAGGAGTAGCAAGGTAACTGAGAAGTATTGGGTGTTTCCTTTGGTGAGGGAGCTTGCTATTAGCAACTGCTCCCCCTTTCCTAGTCTGGTTCAATTGCTTCACACTGAATGAACTCTCTTGTTTCTCCCCACCCAAAACCAGGATGAGAAGAATCAGATGATGACGACCAATGTGTGGCTGAAACAGGTGAGATTCTGTCCTCTGCAGAGGTCAGTTTATTCTGGTAGGGAAGATGCCCCAAAGAAGGAGCCAGGAATCTCCAGGGGAAGCTTTTGGAGTTCCAAAGAATCTCATGGACAGTCATCATGCAGGCCTATCCCTCATTTCTCAATTCAATTCAGAAGCATTTATTAAGCACCTAGTGTGTGCTAAAACACTTTAGTAGTTCTGAGGATACAAGGACAAGACTCCATCTTCATCAATTAGGAGGAAAGAAGTGCCTTCCAGAGAAGTAGGAAAATATCCTAGCCTGCCTGGGCCAGCCGTTTCATCTCATTCCCTCCCTGCGCACTTTCTAGCTTCCTGTGACTCCCTGAGTTGCTTTGTGTAGCCTGCATTCCCCTTTCCAGATATCTGCTACCTGACATCCTGGGATGACTGCCTCAAGGTTGAGCCCCTAGAGATAAGGTGCATGAACTCATTTCTCAACATAAATGAACTCCCACCCTGTCATACCCTCCCCATCCCAATGATTCTAATCCCCCAGATAACATTGTTTCAATCCCATTCTCTACTCCCCTTTAGCCACTCTCTTATTCCCATCACCCTCAACCCAACCTCCCCCTGCCTAATTTCCTGCTCTAAAGTTACCTACCCTTTCCACTGCTCTCTGGAATGCCTGCTCTGTAGGCAACAAATTTCTTTTCTTCTTTTCCTTTCTATTCCTTCTGTCTTCTTGTACTCACTGAGACCTGGTTTTCTCCTGAAGGCACAGTTTTCCTACCCATCCTTTTCAGCACTGGTTGCATTTTTACTCATATCCCCCAATACGATGAGGGTCATGGTGGGGAAGGTGGAATAGTTCTTGCTCCCCATTTCCACTTCCAGGCTCTCCTCTTACCATGATCACTCAGTAACCTCTCTCCTCCTTTGAAGTCCATACAAATCTATATTTATCACCCAATTAAGATTCTCATAGTTGTTATCTACTAACCTCCAGGTTAATAGAACTCCTTCAGGAGTTCAGTGCCTAGATCAGTTTCTCCCTTTCATAACTCTTGCCCTCATACTAGAGGACTTTAACATACATATTAACACTGCCTTAAATACCCTGACCTCCTAGTTCCTCAGTTTATCCATTTCCTAAGACCTATTGGTCATACCCATAATCTTGCCATTGATCATCCATAAGTGAACACTTCCATGTTTGTGAACTCTGAAATTCCTTTATCTGATCATAACCTGTTGTCATTCTATCATCCCCTCTGCCTTGCAATGCCAAGCTCTGTTCTTCATCCTAAGTACAACCTCCAATCCCTTGACCCCTCAGTTCTTTCCCAGGACATCACCAACGCACTGGCTACATTCTCCTCCCTTCCTCATCTTGATGCCTTGATGAACCAGTTCATCTCTACACTGTTCTCTTCTCTCGAATCTCTTGTCTCTTTATTATTTCCCAGATATGTCCTTGCCTACTAAGCTTCAGCCTTGGATTACTTCCACCATCTGCTGCCTCCAATGCTACTCATGTACTGCTGAACAAAGCTGGAGAAAATCACAAAACCGTGCTGACCAGGCTCACTGCCAATTTATGGACATGAGTTCAACTGGGCCCTCACTGAGACAAGGCAATCCAGCCAAATCTCCCTAATTAGATCGCTCATCACAACAGCAGCTTTTCTAGAACTTTTCATTCCTTCTCAAGCTTCTCATGACTCCTCCTACTCCCATCCTTTCAGCTGAGAACCTGGTCTCATATATTCAGTGAAAAAATTGAGTACATCCACTGAGAGCCCCCTCTTCTTCATCTCATATTACTCAGATGCCTTCTGCTACCATCTGCCACCATCTTCTTCACCCTTATCGCATGTGAAGAGATGGCCCTTATCCTTGCCTGGGAAACCCTTCTACATGTACAAGCGATCCCATTCCATTCTGTCTTTTCCAACAAATTTCTCCTTCTATAACCCCCAACTCTCTTGCTAATCTTCATTCTCTGCTACTGGTTGCTTCTCCACTGACTACAAACATGTCTTTGTCATCCTCATTCTCAAAAATCCTGCTACGTATTATCTTCTATCTGTCTGCCCTTTGGGGGATAAATTTCATTAGTAGTTTGTCTACAAGTGATGTGTTATTCACTTCCTTTCCTATGACTCTCACCTCTCAGTAGTCTGGCTACAGACCTCATCATTCTACTGAAATGGTTGTCTCTAGTTTTCTAGTTTTTTTTTTCTTTATAATTGCATATCTATTTCACTGATCTGTTCCTTTTTTTTTTTTTTGCTGATGAAAAAGTTTAGAGATACAATTTTTTTTCCTCAGGAAAATTTGGTAGTCTTCCAAAAGTATTGTTATTTTGCCTTGTTATTTGATGAAACATGCTACTATTTCTACAATTTATGCTTTTACCCACAAATTCTTTAGAAGTAAATTATTTAGTTTCCAATTAATTTTAATCCTTTATTAAAAGGTCCTTTATTGAATATATTTTATTGTATTTTGGTTGGCAAAAGTTATATTTAATATTTCTGCTCTTCTGAATTTGTTTATGAGGTTTACATGCCCCAGTACATGGTCAATTTTTGTAAAGGTGCCATACACAACTAAAAGTATATCTATTCAGTAATTTCCAGAGGTCTAACATAACTTCATTATTTATCTTTTAATCAGATTTTTCTATATTTCATAGGGGTATATTGAAATCTCAAACTATTACAGTTTTACTGTCTGTTTCTTTCTATAAATCAATTAGTTTTTCCTTTATTTAGATTCTTCCATTTTGTGGCAGCTCTCCAGGTGAGCTCTATGTCATTCAGGCCACATATGTGTATATACATATATCAATATTAATTCACTGTCTATAGTGTTTTTAAACATAATAACATTTCCTCATCTAATGAAGTTTATTTTTTTGTTTTTGCTTTGTCTGAAACCATGATTGCTATTCTTGCTTTTCTGAGTTCATTTGAAGCATAATAGGTTGCTTTAGTCCCTTATGTTAACTCTGTGAACTTTCTATTTTAAGCGTGTTTCTTGTAATTAACAAGCTATTACATGCTGCTTTGTAATCCATTCTGCTATCCCCCATCCATTTTATGGGTGTTTGTCCTATTTACATGTATAATTATGATTGTTAATTGTGTTTTTTCTTCCGTCATATTTTTTAATACTGTTTTGAAACCTGCTTCTGTTTTACTCTTTCTTTTTCTCTCTCCCAGTCCTTGATCTTAGGTTCTTGCCATTTCTTTCTTTCATTTATGCTAAACTTTATGCTTCACTTTCTAAAGATAGATTTTATTTTGATTAATCCTTTACTAAAACTACCCTCCATCTTTGCCTCCTTCTGTCTCTCGGCCTCCGCCTGATTCCTTATTAAGTTTAATGAAATTTTATACCAATTTTTTTGTGACTGTGTGCATATTCAATCCTCCTTTGTCCAATTCAGATGAAAATGAAATTCATCTATATCTCACTCTCCTTGAATTTAGACCTAATTATGTAAGATAGTAAGTGCTATGCCTTTCTTCCCTTTCTTTTTTTAATTTTTTCTTTTAAGAATATTGAAATGTAACAAAACTTCCCATGAACTCTGCCTTGTTTGCTCTACTTTTATGATTCTTGAAGACAGTAAGTTTGGAGGGGACACTTTTTTCCTATTAGAAGATAAATATTATGCCATCACATATACCTTCCAATTGCTCAAATATATTTATCTTTAAATTTCTGTCTTTGCATTTCAAAATATCTATTCAACTCTGGTATCTTCATCTGGAATACCTAGAAGTCCTCTATTTCATTAAAGACTTATTCTTCCCACTCCCCCACAGCAATACGTTCAGCTTTCCAGGTAAGTTTTTTTTTTTAATTTTAAATCTTTATATTTTGCCTTCTGGAATGTCGTATTCCAAATTCTACTATTCTTGGTAGTGGTCTAAGAGGTCTGTGTTTGTGGTTCTGGCTCCTTAGTAGTTGAACTTTTTCTTTATGGATGCCTATGTTGTTTCTACTTTGACCTGGGAGCTACGGATTTTTGGCTAGGATGTTCCTGGGAGTTTTTATTCAGAGATTTATTTTTTTTCAGGAGATAACGAGTGTATTCTATTTTTACTTTGTCCTCTGGGCTATTTTAATTCATATTTTCTTGAAATGTGGCATCTAGGGTTTTGTTTTTGTTTTTAGCAGCGATTATCAGGTTGTCTGAGGATTTTTAGATCAACTCCCCTTGCATCCAGTTTCCAGGTCAGCTGTTTCTGGTAAGAGATACCTTATGTTTTCTGATATTTTTTCAGCTTTTCAATTCAGTTCTAATATTTTTTGGTGCCTCATGGAGTCACTGATTTCTGTCTGATCCTGTCTAATTTTCAAGGAACCTATTATATGGGCAAGACTTTGAATTTCTTTACTAAGCTGTATATTATCCTTCCAGTTCTTTCCTCTAGAGCTCTTATTTCCTTTATATCATCATTTTTAAATGCTTGCTTCATTTCTTCCAGGAATTCTAGTATAGCTTATGCAAAATCTATAATTTTCTTTAAGGTTTTATTTGTAGATGAGGTGTGTTCTTTCCTTCTCCTGAATTTGTGCTTTGAACATCCCTGACTCCAAAACCTTTGTTTATTATCAGTATTTTCTTCCTTTTAATTGTTTCTTCAATCTTACTTTATTAACTGAGACTTTGTATTGAGGCCAGGCTTTGTACACTTCTGGAAGAAATAGTGAGGCTTGCTTTGATATTAATCCACATTATCTGGGGTATGGATAATAGGTGCTGGGTCTTTCAAGGACCTCAGTGCATTGCACTAGGAAGTCTACATAGCAGATAGGACAAGGGTCTACACAGGGCAGTATACTTGGGGTGGTCTGCATTGGAGTGGTCTGATCCAATGAGAGCCATGATTGATGACATCTTGATCTAAACTCCACAGTCATCTGAGCCCCGACTCTGAGTCAATGCAATACACTCTAGGTCCCTCGTCTCTATGCTAGAAGACTTCTATGTACGTGCTCCTTGGCTGGAACCTTTCCCTAGGGCCTGTAGTCTCTTAATGTGGACTTGGACTGACAAAATGCACTCACTGTAGTTTCTCTTTGGATTTCCTGCATTTCTCTGTCTGGTGCTCCATGTTGAAATAATTGTGAGAGTTGGTCTGCTTCCACTTACTCAGATGTCTTAAGGAGAGCCTCCTTTTTTTAACTTTACATATATTCTATTTATTTATTAGTGTACATGTGGCTCCCCTCAAGTCTCCTGAAGAATGTAAGTTCCCTAAGGGTGGCAACTATTTCTTTTTTTATCTTTGTCTTTTCAGGGCCTGTCACAGTACTTGGCACATAGTAGGTATTTAATAAATGTTTATTGAAATAAATTAAATTGAACCTTCGTTTCCTTCCTGCCTAGGAGTGGAGTGACTACAAGCTATGCTGGAACCCAACTGAATATGGCAACATCACATCGATCCGGGTCCCTTCAGAGATGATCTGGATTCCTGACATTGTCCTCTACAACAAGTAGGCAGCCCTTCCTTTTTAGCCAGAATCTGGATTTGTTGACCAGATTTTGCCCTACTGAATTTGGGAGGGGTCGGCGCATGTAATAGCTTCAGCTGGAGCTGCTGCTATTTATAGCTTGTCCCCCCAACTAGATTGCCTTGATGTCAGGAAGAGCATCTTTTTCTTCTTTGTACCTCCCTTAAAGTGCACAACAATGGGTCTAATATGTAGTAAGTGTCCAGTAAACACTGGTCAATGTTGATGGCGATGGTGATGATGATGGTGGTGATGGTGGTGGTGATGATGATGGCTTAGCCATCAGATGAAGAAACTGAGGGACCAGTCCAACCACTTGTGAGTTATTTTATTCCTTGTAACTCTGGGCTTTTTTCTACTTCTAACCCAGAATCAGGGCAAGAGAAGGAAGGAAGGACACACATCTGTGGCTACAGACCCGACTTCCTTGGAGCCCTAAGGAATCATTAGGGTCACCAGTGCGCTTTGATTTTAAATGTGGCCTGTTTAAGTAAGGGTGGGAGAGAGGTAGAGGTCGCAGGAGGAAAAGTAGCAAAACTATGCATCTACAACCCCTCAGACAGATAATTTTGGAAGAGTCCTCTTTTTTTTCCACTGCTAGACTAAATTTATCATATTGTAGCTTTTGAGTGCACCTTAGAGTGCATCTAATCCATTCTCCTTATTCTACTCTTCTGAATCTCAGAGAAGTGATGGGGCAGGTAGGTGATACAGTGGATAGAGCTCAGGCCTGGAGTGAGGAGGACCTGAGTTCAAATCCAACCTCACTAGCTATGTGACCTAACCCTGTTTGCCTCAGTTTCCTTATCTGTATAATGAGCTGAAGAAGGAAATGGCAAACCACTCAAGTATCTCTACCAAGAAAACCCCAAATGGGGTCACAAAGAGTCAGACATGGCTGAATTCAAGAACTCTGGCATTAAGTGGCAGAGCTGAGATTCTAACCTAGTTCTTCGGATGCTAAAGCCAAAAATCATTCCATTGCGCTAGACAATGTCTATTACTGAATAAAGTCTCAAGTCCTTAATCTGGTATTTTAGATTTATGTGTCCAAGTTTCCAGGATTGACCCAAAGGAACTTATACTTTACCCTGCTTCCCTAGCTATGTTGTTAATCATATTAACAATAGCTGATATTACATAGGGCTTTAAGGTTTTTCTTGTTGTTGTCAGGGTTTTTTTTTTTGGCGGTTGGGGTTAAGTGACTTGCCCAAGGTCATATATCTAGTAAGTGTCAAGTTTGGTCTGAGGCTGGATCTGGTCCTTCTGACTTCAGGGCCAGTGCTCTATCCACTGGGCCACCTAGCTGCTCCTGCTTTAAGGTTTTTCAAAGCACTTCACAAACAGTATTTCATTTAATCTTCTTGGAGATAGGTGATATCATTATTCTCATTTTACAGATGGGGAAACTGAGGCTGAGGGAGATTAGGGTGATTTATTCAGGGTCACACAGCTAGTAAGAGTCTGAGGCAGGATTTGAACCCAGGTCTAGCATCCTAAACACTATGTCACCTATAGATATTTCCTCCGTATTTCTTGGATCATCATAATCAAAGAATCCTTTCTCTAGTGATCAAACTGTTCCCCCTGTAACAGGCTGTTATTGTTATCCGTGGACAATGCTTAGTCTGCTATGAGTCTCTCCTTAAAGCCTTTCCATATACGTGGGCCCTACTACAGGTTGGGTTTTGCTGGCATAGCCTTGGAGATGCCCAAGTTACAATGGGGCGTAGAGGGGAAAGAAATATGTGACACTCCCTTGATCCAGCCAGATGCTGAAAGGTTACTGCCTAAGCAAAAACGGGTCTATGCTGCCTCCTAGTGGTGATTTTTAGTAACAACAGAAAGGCTAAGTTGGGTGTTTCTAACACTTTTTTTTAATTATTCATCTTTAAGCTCATTTCCAACTCTGACTAGCAGTCATGTAAAGGGAGGGAGGGTCTCGTCTTTGCTTGTCACCTCCAAGGCTCTCGTGAGCCTGTGAACTGTGGAAGAGTGAGCATCCTAATGTATGCTGTCTCTGACATATTACCTGTGTGACCTTGGGCATGTGACTTCTCTGCTCTGGGCCACAGTTTCCTTTGCAGTTAAAATAAAAGTATTCAATGGAATGATCACTAAGCTTCCTTTCAGCTCTTGATCTCTCTTCTCCTCCCCCGCCCTCAGCCCCAGCCAGGCAAACTCTTTTCTCTTCCTAACTTTCCTGTTACTGTGGATGGTTCCACATCCTTCTAGTTCCCCAGGCTGGCAACATAGAAGTCTCCCTTGACTCCTCACTCTCTCTGACCCACTTCCCCTCATCTGATATGCCACCAAATCCTGTTGCTTTTACCTTCCTACCACCTCTTGTATATTCTCCCTTCTCTCCTGGCACATTGCCACCACCTTGGTGCAATCCCTCATCATCTCACAACTAGACTATTTCAAAAGCCTCCTGGTGGCTCTGCCTGTTTCAAGTCTCTCATCTTCCATTCAGTCACTAAGTGATTTTCCCAAAGCAGACCCTGCCCCACCCCTATTCAATAAACTCCAGTGGTCTCCTGTTACTTCTAGGATCAAATATAAAATCCTCTGTTTGACCTTTCTAGTCTTCCCACATGTTCCTCATTGTTGCTGTTCGGTTGTTTCAGCTGTGTCTGACCCTTCATGACCCCATTTGGGGTTTTCTTGGTAAAGACACTGGAGTGATTTGCCATTTTTTTCTCTAGCTCATTCTTACAGATGAGGAAACTGAGGCAAACAGAGTTAAGTGAGTTGCCCAGGGTCACACAACTAGTTAGTGTCTGAGGCTGGATTTGAACTTTTTCCTCCAGGTCCAACACTCTATCCACTGAGCCACCTAGCTGCCCCTACTTACTTACTCTCCTTCAAATATTCTTAGATACAGTGACACTGGCTTCTAGATCAAGACAGCTCCATCTCCTGACTTTGTGCATTTTCACTGTTTGCCCCCCAGGAACTCTCTCCATCTTCATTTCTGCTTCCCAGCTTCCTTCCACTTTCTGCAAGAAGCTTTTCCTGGTTCTCCTCAATCATAGTGTCTTCTCTCTGATGATTGTTTCTGTTTCATCCTGTAATAAATCTTGTTTGTATATACTTGCTTGCAGCTGTCTCCTCCATTAGACTGTGAGCTCCTTGAGGGCAGGAACTCTGTTTTGTTTTGTTTTTGTCTTTCTTTGTATCTCTAACACTTGCCACAGTGCCTGGCACTTAGGTGTTTAATAAATGCTTTATTGACTTGACTTGATCCTAAGAAGTGGATAATGAAAGCTATTGTCAAGAGTTGAGTATGGATAATATAAGGGCAGAGCCAAGATGGAAGAGTAAAAGCAGTGACATGCTTGGGCTCTTCCCCCAAACCCCTCCAAAGACCCATAAAAATGGCTATAAACAAATCCTAGAGCAGTAGAACCCACAAAAAGACAGAGTGAAACAAATTTTCAGCCCAAGACAGCCTGGATGATTGATTGGAAAGGTCTATTGCACTGGGCTGGTAGAGGAGCGCAGTTCAATGTGGGCCACTCAGGCAAAGACCAGGCCTCAGTAAACCTGGAGCAGGCCTCAAGAGATTGAATCACGGGCAGCTGTGATGGTTTCCAGACTTCTCAACCCACAAACACCAAAGACAACTTAGAAGGTCAGTAGGAAAGGTCTATTGGACCTTAGTGAGAGAGAAGCTTGGGGCAGTGGCTGCTTCCTGAGCTCTTGGCCCATAGAAGGAGAGGGAATCGAGTGGCTGATCAGAGGGGAATTGCAGGGATCTCTTTGCTGGTACTGAGGCAGGAATCTCTTGCTTTGCCTGAGCTTGGATCTGGGTTGCAGTTCTGGGTGGCAGTCCTGGGGTGAAAAGCAGCACTGGTGTGGTGGAGTTTGTACTGGCGGTGTGGAGAAAATCCTCCTCACAGTTCCAAGCAAAAAAGAATACTTGTGGTCACTCATAGACTACAGCACAAGCAAGGAAAGGAGTAAACACCTTTGATCATACCACCTTGGAAGAACTGAAAATTTACAGTTCCCTAGAAGTATCTCTGAAACCAGCTGCATAAAACCCCCGAAGCTTGGGGCAGTACATTCTCCACATTGGAAGCAGACATCTACCTTAACAAAGAGATTAAAACTCAAGTAATTGGCTGGGAACATGAGCAAACAGTGCAAAAAAAAGTCAGACCATAGAATCTTTCTTTGGCGACAAAGAAGATCAAAACATACAACCTGAAGACTCAAAGTCGAAGGTCCTACATCCAAAGCCTCCAAGAAAAATATGAATCAGTCCCAGGCCATCGAAGGGCTCAAAAAGGATTTTGAGAGGCAAGTAAGAGAAGCAGAAGAAAAACTGGGAAGAGAAATGAGAGTGATGCAAGAAAATCATGAAAAACAAATCAACAGCTTGCTAAAGGAGACCCAAAGAATACCGAAGAAAATAACACCATAGACAAAAAATGGCAGAAGAGGTCCAAAAAGGCAATAAGGAGGAGAATGCCTTAAAAAAGCAGAATTGGCCAAATGGAAAAGGAAATCTAAAAGCTCACTGAAGAAAATACTTCCTTAAAAATTAGAATGGAGCAAAAGGAAGCTAGTGACTTTATGAGAAATCAAGAAATTGTAAAACAAAACCAAAAGAATGAAAAATTAGAAGACAACGTGAAATATTGAAAAAGAAAAAAGAGTTGAGTCTGGCATTTTCTCCCATATAAAAATGGTTCCCAGGCTCCTCCAAGGAGAAAAACTTTCTTTAGGATCTGATTCAGGTCACGCTCACCTTTCTTCTACGCACCTCCTTTCAAAACCTTGGAGTCACCTTTGTCTCTTCCCTTATCTTACCCTCTACATTCAGTTTATCACTAAGTTTTGTTGATTCTTTATTCTTAATGTCTCTTGAATTTCTCCCTTACTTTCCATTCCTGTTGTCCCAGTACCTCAAAGTGGCACAATATATCATATGATATCCTGAAGTGGTCTCCCTGTCTCCCTCCCCCCATTTCTCTCCCTTCCAACGTCTCCTACACACCCTTCCAGATTAACTTTGCAACGTGACTTGGCTCATGTTCCTCTATTAATGGCTCCTAACTGCCTGCTGAATGACGTCTAGCTCCTCAAAGCCCTCCACAATTTATCCCTAACCTGTCTTTGCAAGCTGATCTTAGGATGTTCCCCTACGTACTCTGTTCTCCACATACGAGCCAAGCAAGACTACTTTCTACTCTCTGAACACTTGTTCTGGAGCAAGGAGCTTCTGGGGAAGAAATGCCCTCTCTAACAACCTACATGGGCACCTCTTCTGTAACAGAGCTTAAGTGATTTGCACAGCATCACACAACCCATTGGTTTCAGAGGAAGGATTTGAAATCAGGTCCTCCTGATGCCAAGCCCAGATCTCTATTTAACCACTTGTTTCTTTCTGAGTATAAAAATGGCAAATCCTTATATTTATATGTTAAGCACAAAATAAAGGTTCAGGGGCCATGCATTCTTAAATGTTTACAGAAAACTCCAAATACACAGCCAGAAAGAGCTTTAGCCTCCTCCCTCACCCTATTCAGCTAGTCTGAACCAAGATTGGCCTAAGAAGGTATGAATGGTTTTCTAATTCTTCTCTTTTTTTTTTCTTTGCAGTGCTGATGGGGAGTTTGCAGTGACTCACATGACTAAGGCTCACCTGTTCTTCACGGGCACAGTGAAGTGGGCACCCCCAGCAATCTATAAAAGCTCCTGTAGTATTGATGTGACTTTCTTCCCCTTTGACCAGCAGAACTGCAAGATGAAGTTTGGCTCCTGGACCTATGACAAGGCCAAGATCGACCTTCAGCAGATGGAAAAGATGGTAGACCTGAAGGATTACTGGGAGAGTGGGGAATGGGCCATCATCAATGCTGTGGGCACCTACAACACTAAGAAGTATGATTGCTGTGTTGAGATCTACCCCGACATCACCTATTTCTTCATTATCCGGAGGTTGCCTCTCTTCTATACCATTAACCTCATCATCCCATGCCTCCTTATCTCTTGCCTCACTGTCCTGGTGTTCTACCTGCCATCAGACTGTGGTGAGAAGATCACCCTCTGTATCTCAGTCCTACTGTCACTCACTGTCTTCCTCCTGCTCATCACTGAGATCATTCCCTCCACTTCCTTGGTCATTCCACTCATTGGTGAGTACCTACTCTTCACCATGATCTTTGTCACACTCTCTATTGTCATCACTGTCTTTGTCCTCAATGTTCACCACCGATCTCCAGGAACCCACATCATGCCCCACTGGGTGAGGGTTGCCTTTCTGGGCTGTATACCCCGATGGCTTTGGATGAATCGGCCCCTTCCTGTCCTGGAGCTCCATCACAATCCTGTCCAAAAGCTCAGTACCACTCATTGTTGGCTGGACACCAATGTAGATGAGGATGAGAAAGAGGGTGAAGAGGAGGAAGAAAGCTGGGAATTTTCTGGCCATTCATCACCAGTAATTGATACCCTCTGTTGTCACTGTGGCCATCACCATGGTTCTCCATGTTCCAAGACAGGGATTCAATTGCCAAAGACTGGATTCCTTTTGCCCCCCAGCATCCAAAAAGCCTTGGAAGGTGTGCACTATATTGCTGATCACCTGAGGACTGAGGATGCTGATTTTTCGGTGAGTTGGGAATAGGAAAAAGGCAAGGGACCACCAGCTCAGATTTCATAGTTTCTTAGACCCAGAGTTGAAGACCACCTTGGGGGCCAACTTAGAAGCATAGTTGAGCAAATGAAGCCTCAAGGAGTTTAAGTGATCCCATAGATGAGAGGAAGAACAAGGATTAAAATTCAGATCTCCATGACTCCAAGTCCAACATTCCAAACTTAGCACTCTTTCCATTGTACCACATTGTCTTCAAAGAGAATCTGTCAGTGGCATTGGTATTTTCATTCTCAGTCTCCTTCATTGGGGTCCACTTCTGTACTCAATCATACACAACCCTACACTGCAACCTGTTTAGTGACTCATTTCCTCAATTAGATTGTAAGTTTCCAGAAGGCAGAGACCATAGCATATGTTTTCTCATAAATCTACTGGCATTAAATACAATGTGATATGCTTAGCAGGTACTGGACAAATATTTGTGGAATGATTGAAACAATCAGTAGTTTCATGATAGAGCTATCTGAACACAGGCTAATAACTCCACAGCAGAATTCTAGCCCAAAGGCCATATGACCATTTTATATAGCTGGGTGAGATGTGATGTCTCTACCACTCATGAGGATTAAGAATGCTCAGTTTTATGTACCACTACTGAAAGCCTGATTCCACATGTCAGATTACAGCTAGAGATTTCTCTTAACTTGACATCTGCATTCAGTAGGGAATATTGGTGCTTCTACATGACAATGTAATATCACTGGGGACATCTCTGCCTTCTCTCATCTAAAACTTGAAATCACAATCATAGAATTTTGTAGCTAGAAGGAACTGTAAAGCCTTTAGGACAGGGGTTTTACCTAGGAGTCTATGAACTTATTTACAATGTTTTGATAATTGTATTTCTATATAATTGGTTTCCTTCAAATGTATTTCATTTTATGAATTTTAAAACATTTCTGAGAAGGGTCCATTGACTTCACCAGTCTGCCAAAGGGATCCATGACACCAAAGTGATTAAGAACCCCTTATCTAGGATGTGGTGGGGGTTGGGTCTGAGGAGATGTTTGTGGAAAAATTTGGGGATTAATTATAGAGATTGTTAGGCTGTTTAAGCCTTGGAATAGCAGAGGTTCCTTGAAACAAAAACTGGCTTCTGGGGTCTTCTGAACCCTTCTTTCACTAGTTGTTATCCTTTCTAAGGCCCCAATACGGTAGGCACTCATCTAGGCAATGGCCAAGGTTAACCTTTTATTCCCCTTGTCATTTGGGGGAACATTCATGTGCTACCTTTCTGTAATTTTCTGCCCCTTTCATGATGCATTGGTTTTCTGCCACAGGTGAAGGAAGACTGGAAGTACGTTGCCATGGTGATTGACCGCATATTCCTCTGGATGTTCATCATTGTTTGCTTCCTTGGGACCATTGGCCTCTTTCTTCCTCCGCTTGTAGCTGGCATGATCTAAAAGCACAAGTCTTGATCCAAGGGTGATGCCTTCTAGCTTCTCTGGTATTTGTAACTATATTTGCATTTTCACTAAGACATTGGGGGAATAGGAGGTACTAATTCAGCCAGTCATTTGAGAGTTGGTGTAATGAGGTCGCTGGCTATTCCATCGTGGAAGTCTCATTCTGGAACTTATCTACCATGAAGCTGATGATTATTTCATTCATTCATTCAGCAAATATTGAGTACCTGTTGTAAGCATAGCATTATCCTATGTATCAGTGGGAACATGAAAAAAAAAAAGATGTAGTCCCTGCTCTCCAGGAGCTTACAATCTACATGGAACAGTTAAGATACAATACAAGGTATTGATTAGACTGGGGAAATGAATGAGACTCACTACAAGGTCTATAGCAATGGAATGGGAGGAGGACTGGAAATGTTGGCCGATGTGGGAGGAGAAGACAAAAGTTGGACTTTGAAAAGTAGAGATGATTTGGGCAAGTGGAGGGAGGGAATTCTAGGATTGCTGGTGTGAGGGAAAATAGAAATGAACAGAAACTTATTGTGAAAACAAGCATGGATTATAGGATCACAGATGTAAACCTCAAAGATCAGCTTGTACATCTTCATTTTATAGATGAGGAAACTGAGGCTTATAGAGGTTATGACTTGTCCAAGGTCATACAGATAGTAAGTTGACAAGTCAAGCTTTGAATCTAGAATCTCCAAACCCAACACTCTCCACTGAATTATGCTGGGTCAGTAAGGAGATTGTCCTGGTTGGAGTAGAGAATGTTGGAGAATAATCAGAAGCATCATTGGAAAGGTAGTTTGGGGGTTCATAAGAAAGGGGCTTGAATATCAGTTTGAGAAATTTGGACTGGAAGGATAAGGAAAACATTGGAGGTGTTTGAACAAATGAGTGACATTGAGAAATCAGTGTTTTAGGAAGCTTTGTCTAGTGGAGAGGTGGCATAGTATAGTGGATACAGAGTCAGCCTTGAAACCAGAAAGACTTGGGATCTAGTCCTGTGCAAAAACATAGTGGCTGTGTGACCCTGGGACAAATCAATTATCTTCTCAGCTCTCCATCAGCTCTCTAAGATTTTAAGTTTCAGGGTAGGTGCCAATCTTTACTTCAACTCTGAGTCTTAGAAAGTTGTCCAAGGATTCCATTCTAGTCCCATTACTTACACCTCTTGATTCTGGACCGCTCACTGATTTCATTCATATTTGACTTCTCTTCTGGTTTGTGAATAAAGGCCTAACTCTCACGCCTATTTTGATGCCATTTTCACCTGATGTATCTTTATAAATTATCATCTAAGCCCCACCATCTTGGTTAAGCATTTTTATTCCTTCCCACTGTTATTTGATGGCATATGCCCCTGCTTCCAGCAACAACTCCTGGAATCCCAACTGAGCTAACACTGATGTCAGGTTATAGCCACCCATCCTGATCAAGTCTCTCTGGACCAAAAGCTAAAGAACCCCTTAACAACCCTGTGGCTACTTCACTGTTCCCTACCCAGGACCAGTACCTGCCCTCTGATCCTCCTCCTGCAGGAAAGGGAGGTACACTGAACATTGAAACCAATTCATTTCTTCCAGGAGCATAATTCAATGTCAATAGAAATGTCATAGAACAGGGTTGGGGGGAGGGAGGTGGAGAAGAGGAATCAATCCAACCACAAAACAAATGGTACATTTTTAATTCAACCACAAATCAAATAGAAAGAAGATGGAAGAGTGTTTTACGTAAACAACCAAAAAAATAAAGGAGGGGAGGAAGGGAGAGACGGAGAGAGAAAAGGAGGGGTAAAAGGAGGGAGGAAAAGAATGAGGGAAGAAGGGAGAAGGAAGAAGGGAGGAAAGGAGAGAGGGAGGAAAAGAGGGAGAGGAGAAAACAAGGGAAGGAGGGAGGGAGAAAGGGAGGGAGAGAGGGAAGAAGGGAAAAAGGAAGGGAGTGAGGGAGAAAAGGAAAGGAAGCATGAAGGGAGGAAGGAAAGATGGAAGGAGGGGAAGGGAGATATGGAAGGAGGAAGGGAAGAAGGTATGGAGGGAGGCCAGGAGGGAAGAAGGGAAACAGAAAGGCAGGAAGAAAGGAGGAAAAGAGGATGAAAGGAAATAAGGAAGAGAGGGAAGGAGGCAGAAAGAGATAGACAGATGAAAATAGGGAGGAAGAAAAGAAGGAAAGTGAGAGGTAAGACAGGTAAATTATGGCCAGAATTCCTGTTCTGGCCTCTTCTTTCTCTCACCTTCCAGATCCAGTGCTTGTATCATTCACTCTAACAGTCTCCTTTCCCCACCCAGGCTCTTCTTGGCTTGTTCTGGGTCCCTTTTAGCAAGGAACATTCCTGGCTGGGACAGATGGTGGTCAGGACAGACCAATCCATACATTAAATAAACCCCTCTCTCTATACACTATACAAGAATATCAGTTCAGTCTGCATCCTCGCAAGGCCAGTCCCTAGAACAGGGCTCCCCTGCCTCTGTACTCCAACTGGTACCTCTGCTAACCCTGGAGGTCTCCAGGGAATCACTAATTGATCACAGAAAAATAAGAATGAACAGCTTAATTCCACCCCTGGCTGCTGTGTCCATGCATGAAGCCAGGGCAGTTTCCACAGGCACTGGGGATCCACTGATAAACATACTATGTAAAAGAAGTGGGGTGGGCTGGGGAGGATAGGCTGGGGAGGGGCACGGAGACAGCTACCCTCAAGCTCCCATTACTACTATCCCAGCTTCTGTAGTCCAGTGTCCTGTATATATAAACGCCTTCTCGGCTTAACAGTCTGTGGGGTATGGGGTGCCCTTTTCTGGCTGGGGGCTAATGGAACAGGGGGCAGAAAAGGGGAAGAGATCGTGCAAATGGCCCCAAGCCAGCCCCCTAAGAAAATAAACATGGCTAGGCAAGACAAGAGGCAGGGGAAGGGGGATGCATGGCACAAAAGTTGGGAGTGGGGGCACACAGGTGGGAGAGCCGCCCCATCCAGGACCAGTTCATCTTGGCGGACACTGCCTGACGTTCACTCGGCCGGGGGGCGGGCCAGATTGGCGACCATTTGGCCTGGTCCACAGCATCCAATAGGTTCTTGGCATCCACAGCCAGAGTGTGGGAGGCGGTGAGCATCTGACGCTTACATTCTTCACTCAGTGAAGTCACCGCATTCTGCTGCGCCAGACGCATCTTGTTGATTAATTCTGCCAGGTCTTTGTTCAGCAGCTTCTGCGTCCCCTCAATCTGCAGGGTTAGAAAGAACAATCTAGGATCTGGAAAGCTGAGTGACAGGAGGCTGGGATGACAAAACCCCTGCTAATTCTTCATACTTATCTAATAATAATCATGGAATCATAGACCTAGAGCTGGCAGTGACCTCAAGACCTCTTGGGAACTCCCCCCCCCCATTTTACACTCTCTATATGAGGAAACCATGTCTCAGGTACTTAATGACCTGCCCAAGGTCACACAGGTAGTATCAGAGGCAAGATTTGAACTCAGGTCCTCTGACTCCAAAGCCACTTATATACATTATCCTCTTTGGTTCTCATAACTCTGTGAAGCATGAGCTATTAGGACCCCCATTTTATAGCTGGGGAAACTGAGGCTCAGAGAACTCAGAGTCACACAGGTCTTCCTGAGTCTGAGTACAGTGCTCTATCCATTAAGCCACACTGACCCTTCAATACATTCACTACTTCCCATAGTTATCAGTCACCAGCCTGCTAATTAACACTCCTGCCTTGGATGGACAGGCAAACAGCCATCAAATGTCCATAAACAAATGGGTCCTAAGACCCAGAGCTGGAAGGGACCTCAGAGATAATTGGGTCCAATGCCCTCACTTTACAGATAAGGAAAGAGGGGAGCAGAGAGAGGAAAGAACTTGTAGAACCAGAAGCTTGACCTTTAGAAAAAACTTTCCCAGTTGTTGGTCCCTGGAGAGCATGCAACACCCCCAGACTCCATTTCCATCTCCATACCACAGCCCTCCTAAGCATGCTCTACAGACAGGCCAGCCCCAGAGCCTGGGAGGAATGAAGCAAGCTAATATGGACCTTGTGGCTCTTTCTCTGGAAATAAACACATCCCATGACACGGGAGGACTAAACAGCAAAGTGCACAGTCCAGCCGGGCCTTAGGAAACTTACTTCTGTTCGTGAAGACAGAGGCAGAGTGGGCAGAAGGTCATCCACGCTTCCAATCAGCTTCCGCAGAGTTAGGCCGACATTCTAGAGAAAGAAATTTCCCCATGTGAGAGTAGAATATCCCATCTGTCAGAGTCCAAGGACTTACCCTAAGATTCATCTTGGGATAAAACAAAGACTCCTGGTAGAATATTGATTCTTTGAGGGCAAACAATAGTTGTTGTTTTGTCTTTTTATCCCCAGTTCCTAGCATGGAGCCTGGCATATAGTAGATATTGAATAAATGCTGACTAGCAGGGCCAAAAGTAAGGCAGAGTGATCAGTACTTTACCTGAGGGCTCCAACAGTTGGAGTGGGGGTGAGGAGATGCTTCACTCCCAGAATGGTCCTCTGATCCACTGCCCCCATACCTTGGAGTAGTCCCTGTACCATGGGATACTGCCCTCAAGGGTCCACCCTTCTCCCTCAGCCTACCTGCTCCAAACTCACAATGTTTGATATTCGTCTGCCATTCACTCTCCTCTGTCTTCCTTCTAGGAGCTTGGGATCACCCAATATTTATGCTCTCCTCAACTAAATTTGCCCTCGGTGCTGGAATTCCTATCTATGGCTCTGCTTGTTGGATTAGACTGGAGTAGGCTGAGATATTATCTCTTCAGTTGCAACACTGGAAAATGTACCCCCAGCAAATGTTCCCTAAGTCTTTCCTTCTGAAATCTCACATAGAGCTTTGTTTCTATCTCTCCCATTCACTTAACACATTCTAACATATATCCATGTGTATACCATCACCCCTCGTAGGGCACAAGCTCCCTTGAGGGCAAAGGGTGATGTCTTTGCATAGGCCACGGGTGCTTTCATTAAGCACGGCTCTTGCCTACACTTTGCCCTGAGTTTCCCCTCTTGGTTTCCCACCTTCACCACAACAACATAGCCTTCCGGGGGCAGCTGGCTGAGTTCATTTTTGAGATCCAGGACAGCTCGAACGAGCTCCATGACGTTGATGTACACCATGTCATCCGTCCGGTCCAGGTTGGCTGTAGGCAGAATTGACTGAGGGGGGAGAAGTCAAGAAGAAATAAAGAAATATTGATGAGACAGGATGGTGTCTGAACCCACGGCTGCATTACCTTCCATGAGTGGGAGGGAGGAGGGGGAAGGCAGAGGCAGGAAGGCCCATAAGCCAAATGGGGCTGTCCTATGGTCATTCTGGTTCTTGTCTTTGCATGATGCAAATACCTTGTTAGTAGTTATAGCCCCAGACTCTACTATCGGTATTGTTCCTACTACTCTTCTGGTATATCTTAGACCTAATGTTCCTAAGCCCAGATCATACTGTCTTGCCTAGCCCCTAGTTCTGTTCCCTAGCAGACTTCTGGCTTTGATCTTTGAACTGGCCTGATGATGGCTCGTTCCATTGCTGGGATGCTGAGTTGTGTGCTGTGACTCCAGTAGTCCCCATTTTCTACAATTTGACTGTCCTAATAATCCCCATAGAAAGCTGGCCTCCTCCTGAGTCCAAAGAGGGGGCACTATGTATGGCTCCCTCAGGGGAATACAGCATTTTCCTTGGACAAAAGGTCAGGCTCAGGCTAATAGCCATCATTATGGATAATAACAACAACAATATGAAGAACTAACATTTATAGTGCCTTAAGGTTCACAAAGAACTTTATCTCTTTCTAAATAGACATTTAATATATATTGATATATGATTATATTCTTAATTGAATATATTTAAATATAAATTATATTTATGTATTAATTATATATTTATATATCATGTATTTATAATCATATAATATATAATTATATATAAACTATATGTTTGTAATATATTTATATAATCTATAATACATTTATATACTAATTATGTTGTATATTTATAAATTAATACTATTATATATAAAATCTCATTTTATTATTATAATAACCCTTTAAGGAAGATGCTATTATTCCCCATTTTACAGATGAGGAAACTGAGGCCAAGAGGTTAAATCACTGGCCCAAGTGTACACAGGTAATAAGTGTTGAGTTAGGACTCAGACTCAGGTCCTCCTTACTCTCAAGTCTAATTCTCTATTACTGTACCACCTAGCTGCCTAGAATTCATTCTGCATGAAGTTCCTGTTCCAGATTTAAAGCCTATTATTTGGTTGTCGTTCAGTCATTTTGGTTGTCTGACTCACTGTGACCCTATTTGGGCTTTTCATGGCAAAGATACTGGAGTGGTTTGTCATTTCCTTCTCCAGCTCATTTTACAGATGGAGAAACTGAGGCAAACAGTGATAAATGATTTGCCTAGGATCACACATTTGGACTCAGGAAGAGACTGTCATATAGAGAGAAATTTTTTGTATGTGGCACTTTTCCCCCACTGATCTTTTAGAGAGAAGGAAAAACATTTCCTTGTACAGGTAATGGGTATTGTGGCTACTGAAAAAAAAAAGGTTCAAAGAAAAGGTTCAGAGATGAGAAACCTGTGGCCTTGAGGCCATGTGTGGCCCTCTAGGTCCTCAAGTGCAGCCCTTTGACTGCATCCAAACTACACAGAACAAATTCTCTTAATAAAAGCATTTGTTGGGGCAGCTGGATGGTGCAGTACATAGAGCTCCAGCCTTGGAGTCAGGAGGACCCAGGTTCAAATCCGGCCTCAGA